CCCCCTCCCCCTCCTCCAGCTTCTCTTGCCCCTCTCTCTCAAGCCCTGTCCTGGCATCTGCAGCCAACAGTGGCAGTAGGACCTGAGACACACAGACAGCAGAGTCCCTGGAGACTCCGCGACAGGCAGCCTTGGTGCCGTCACCCCCAGGTGGCAGGTGATGGATGGGAAGAGCACCCAAGACACCTCACATTCATCATGCCCACCTCTTTTCAGGACGGAGACAGGAGGAAATGTCTTTTGTCAGCTCTGCAGCAGGCCCRGCCGGCAGCTCCAAGCTGTTTATTAAAAAAGAAAAAGAATCCAAATAAATAAAGGAGTGTGAATGGCACCTTGCTGGGGGGGGCGTTCAGAAGTGCTGACGGTGACAATCGCAGCCGGGGTAATTATGAAGGAAGGAGTCCTCTCTCAGCCCGCGTCCAGCTRTGATGGGGACAGAAAGTGACAGGAGGGCTTAGGAGAAGAGACAGAGGCTTCGGGCAAGTTGTGTGGCTCTGCTTTTAGCTGGTGGGGGAGGAAGTGATGGGAGGGACAGGCATGGTGGCCTACCTGTCCATCCTCCTGCGTGTCCCTCTGTGGACTTCCTGGGGCCCAGGGACSGGGCGGGCGCTGCAGATTCAGGGAGCAGCTGAGATGGTGGCCACCTTCAGTGTTGATGGGTGTGACCCGTCACTGTTCCCCTGGGTTCTGAATTGCTCCTCGCAGCTGTTCACCCCTTGGATGGGCCGGGCGCTGCCTGAGGGCTTCTCACCACTCTGCCTGCCCCACGGGGTGCATAAAGGTGGGGTGCATAAAGGTGGGGTGCATAAAGGTGGGGTGCATAAAGGTGGCAGAAGGGCTGTTCAGGCCAGGGGTCAGCCAGCGCCAAGCCCCGAGGCAGGAAGGACTTGAATTGTCCCCACACAGCTGGCAGAGTGCACAAGGGGGGTCACCAGATGGCTGGCCAGGAGGGGGAAGGAGCCCGACCACAGGGGAGAGGGACGGAGGAGGAGAGGAGGCAGCTCATCTGCTCCACCCAGGCCCGAGGGCTCCTCTCTGCCCGGGCTGTGGGATGGACCCTCCTCCACCACCTCCCCCTGACCSCAGGAGCACACCAGCCCACCACCCGTCCCGTGGCACCTTCAACAGGACCCGCTGTGGCCTGGTGCCCTCCCACAGGTTCTAGGCCCAGGGAGCCCCCGCCCGCCCCAGAAGAGAGGGSCTTGTGGGATGGTGGCGTCTGGCCTCTGGATCCCAGGAAGGCAGTGGCCGGTGCCTGTCTTGGTCCCTGGGCCGGCGGCTGGTCAACAACAGAAAGTCATTTCCCCCCGTCCCAGAGGCTGGGAAATCCAAGGAGGAGGAGCCGCAGACTCGGTGCCCGGTGCCCACAGGAGGAGCGGGCAAGGGAGCTCTCTGGGGCCGGTCAGGGCGCTGACCATCATGAGAGCAGGACCCTCGCTTGGGGACCTAGTGTGGCACCCAGAGGCCCCACCTGCCAGCAGGACCACCTTGGGGACTGGGTCTCAACGTGAGAATTCAGGGAGTGAAAACATCCCTCCCCTGGAAAGACCCCCAGGATGTCTGGGCCCTTGGGTCCCCTCCAGGCCATGACCTCCAGGGGCCTTGGCTTGGCTTCCTCTCCAGATTCCAAAGCCATGGGCCACCTTCCTCAGAGCCTTGCCRAGATCTGAGCCACCCTTGGCGTGTCACGGGCTGGCCCTGTCCCTGTCTGTTGCCACAGTTGGAGCCACGCAGCTCTGAGCCTCACGTCTGGTCCTTGGAGACGCTGCTCTAGGGACCCGTGCCCACRGCTTTCTCTGCGTTGGCAATGGCGACATTTGGTGTTCCCCTGTGCCTGACGGTGGTGGGCGGGGAGGAGGTGGTCTCTCTTAGAGGAGGACACAGATTTTATTTATTAAAGAAAAGGCCGATGGGTTCCGGTCTCTGTCCCGCTAAGTGGCTTAGGGCCTCTCTAAATTACTGAGGCTAGCCTAAAACTYGCCATCCTCCTGCCTCAGCCTCCAGAGCTGCTGGGATGACAGGCCTGTGCCACCGMGCCCGGCCATGCCCTTCATGTAACAGTCTGCAGTCCCACCCTGCCGCCAGCTCCTACTTTTGGGGGGCAGTGTGTTTTGGACTCAGCTGGGGCTCTGTCCCTGTGCATAAAAGCCGAGGTTGCTGTGTCCCAGATTAGCACCCGCCTGTCCCTTGAGTGTAGAGTCGGTTTCAAGATGATTTCATGTGACTCAGTCCATGAAATAATCAGGGAATGTGCCCCTGAGACACACACTGGGGTCCCTGATGCTCCGAAGCCTCATTGGTGGGACTGTCCTGGGCTTGGCCCCCCGCCTGTCCCCCTCCACTCTTGCTGATTTCTCAGTCGGCTCTGGGATGACGGGTCCCTTGGTGTTAGATAGGAGGCCTCATGAATCTAAGTCTCCCGTCCCCGCGGCAGTTCCCATCGAATCCAATGTACTTAGCTGGGCTTAATTATAGTCAGAAATTGCATTTCAGAAAGCAACAAGAAATCATTGGCATGGCTTGAATTTGCACATTAAATCACACGGTTCATTTGAGAGTGAGGTGGAGACGGCTTTTGCCAAAGAAAAAATAATCTTAGTGCCCGCCCTTAGCGGCCCTCTCGGCAATTGCACAAATCGTATGAACCGCACAATTTCGACCGACGGCATTTTTCTTCTTGTCCCAGGGCGAACAAAGAGGCCAGAGATGCTGGGGGGACCCGGCCAGCRTCGGCGCTCGGCAGAGCCTGGGACAGCGGCAGGAAGACCTCCAGAGAAGGCGATGTGTCCCCGCGTTCCGCCCGCCCACAGAAGTCCTGCCACTTTGAGGATGGGGACAGGTTTGGTGTCCACAGAAAGCCCGCGGAGAGGTCGGGGGCTCTGCCTTTCCCCCTGGCTCCTCGGAGTCCAGATGCGTCCCCGCTGCCCCGGGAGAAGCTGCCCAGCCCGTCGGCGGCCCTCTCGGAGTTCGTGGAAGGGCTTCGCAAGAAAAGGGCCCAGAGGGGACAAGGGTCCCCTCTGGGCCTGGAGGACTGGCCCACCCTCCCCATTTACCAGACCACCGGCGCCTCCACGCTCAGGAGGGGCAGGGCCAGCAGCGACGAGGGAGAGCTATTCCTGAGGTCACGGGCCAGGTCACCCCTGGAAGAAGAGGGGGCCGCGGGGACATCGGCTGGTCTGCTGCGCTCCACCAGCCTGAGATGCATCTCCTCCGAGGGCGCGGAGGGCACCACCCAGCTGCCCGAGAAGCTCAAGACCCGGTTCGGTTCGTGCGAGTCCCTCTTGGCATCGGGACCCACCCTGGGGAGAAAACCGAGCCCCCCGACCCTGCCCAGGGACACRCTCTTGTCACCCACACTGCGACCTCGGAGGAGGTGTCTGGAGTCCTCGGTGGATGATGCGGGCTGCCCGGACCTGGGGAAGGAGCCGCTGGTCTTCCAGAAYCGTCAGTTTGCCCACCTGATGGAGGAGCCCGTGGACAGCGACCCGTTCGGCTGGACGCGCCCCAGCCTGGACATCAGACGCAAGCCCAGCGTGGACTTCGATGACTTCCTCCCTGCCATCCGGAAGCCCGAGACCCCTCCATCCTTGGCCGGAACAGCCAGAGATGGGCACAAAGGTTCGAAGCTCTCGAGTGTCCACCTTGAGATGGAAGAGGCTGACCGCCCCTTTGTCTCGGGCATCAAGACCATTTTGAAAAAGAGCCCGGAGTCCAAGGAGGACCCTGCACACCTCTCCGACTCGTCTTCTTCCTCCAGTTCAATTGTGTCCTTCAAAAGTGCCGACAGCATCAAGAGTCGGCCAAGAGCCCCGMGACTGGAGGGCGACGGTGGAGAACAGCTGTCCCCCGAGAACAGACAGCCAGGTGCAGAGAGGAAAGAAGACGTGGAGAGCATAATGAAGAAATACCTCCAGAAGTAGGGCCCTGCAGGTAAGGCGGCAGGTGGGGCGTGGAGCCGCGGGGGCCGCCGTGAGCCTTGCAGAAAGCCAGTGGTGTCTCTGCCTTTAATTCCCTGACCCACGCTCCCAGGATTGTGGTGGTTTTAGCCAAAATAATATCTTGCRGGTTGCAAAGCAGACGCCCTGTGCAGGGGCCACCTATGGTCCCCTTGCAAGATAAATGCAGATGCAGCAGGAGGCCAGGGGGTCCCGTGGGGGGATCCTGAAGGAGGAGCCCGAGGTTTCAAGGCTCCCCAGCTGAGGTCACTGAACTCTTTGCACCTGGGGGTGGGGAGGATCTAGGCCCCCTCTCCATCCCTGGGGACAAATGGTCCCCACCCTAGAGGGCCACTGAAGTCCAAGGTGGGGGGCGGCAGGTGGACATTCGAGGGTCACAGAGGTTAGGTCACTGCTGCACCATCACCCGGGTGGACTCCTCTCCTGCGCCTAATATGTCCCCTTAGATGCGCCATCCAGGTGTCTGCATCCGTGAGCTGGGAGCTGGCCTAGAGCCACAGCCTCCGCCACCCCCGGTCCCCGAAGCTCAGGATATTCACAGGACTTCAGGGCTCACGTGTGCACCCTGCCCAGCCCCAGGCTGCCCTGAGCCCCACCAGGTGCCACCCCGCCCGTTTGCACACCTCGGCCYATCAAAAAGCCATTGTCCCCTCCGCGGGGACACGCTCGGACTCCATCAGAGCAAATTAATTTGACTCCACATGGCCTCCTCTCTGCTCTCAATCACCAAGTGAAGATCTGAGATTCATTTACATTATCATGCTCCTGGGGACATAGGAAGCCGTTTCAAAGGCCAAGTAAAGGGCACGCGTCCATCCAGGGAATGGTCCTTGGCAGAAATGGCCCAAGAAGATCTTGTCTCTGCCGTTTTATGTGTTTTGTAAGATCCCGAGTCCCCTTCCTTCCCCCAAGCAAGGTGCTTTTCCAGAGGTGCTCACCCTAGGAGCAGAGCACCAGCCTAAGAATGCCCTTGATTCCCACACTGGAGTTCTGAACTCCACGGTGCGGCCCCTCTCCCCACGGCTGATGGACTTTGGAAGCAAACTGGAGCCCAGTCTTAGTTCTTCCTACAACTAGTCACAAGACCTTGGGCAAGGGGTGCCATCATGCCCTCGGCTGGAACATGGGGATAATAATGCTAATGACTTCAAGTGACATTGAAGGCTTAACAAGAATACAAGCGACCCCTAGCACAGARCCTGGCACCCAGCAGATGCCATAATTGCCAGGTGACCTTGCACTTGGAAATRTGGTCCTGTATTTGTCAGCTTTCTGTTACTRTAACAAATACCGAATCATCTTATAAAGAGAAAAGGTTGGTTTGGGCTCACAGTTTGCAGATTCCAGTCCATGATGGGTGGGCTCTGTTGTTTTTGAGGCCTGTGGCGAGACAGTACTTCCTGCTGGGAACACATGGCAAAGCCTCTCACCATAATCTCTGCCAAGAGCCCCCCAAGGACCAGAGGACCCTCCCCGAAACACAGTGCCCGCCTCTTGGAGTTTCCCCGCCCCCACTAGCATCTGGCTGGGAATGGAGGCCTGACCGTGGGCCTTCCCGGAGACCCGTGGATCTTGATCTTGAGCCAATCTAGAGCAGGTCCTTTAGAAAACCTGCCCGGGCTATTTCCCCAGTTGATCCCTCTGCGGCTCCTTCTCCACCCCACCCCACCCCGGGGCAGGCTCTAGAGTGACCCCCTGGGAACACAGAATGATGCCAGCCTCCCATCAAGCCCCCCTGCACCCTGTCACCTCTCACCAGGTCTGACCTGCGTTTGTCCCCAGCTTCTGGAGATGCGGTCCTCGAAGTCTCCCCAGCTCCACAGCCGCCTGGAGACAGAGACTGGCCAGGCCTCGCGGGGCCCGGGTCCGGAGCCGCCCACACAGCCACCCCCGAGAGGGAGAAGGACCCAGGAGGCAGTTCCCGCTGGGGGCCTGGGGGCCCGGGCGCCCGTGTGCTTGGTCTGTACAAAATAAAGCCGTCTTCCTTGGTATCTGGGCCTCTCTGTTCTGTGACCACGCCACCTGGGACTCCGGAGGGCTCTCGGGTGTACCTGGGGACATAAGGACTCCAAAGAATGGGACGGGCCCACAGTGTCCCCAGTGTCTCCCCTTCCTGTCCCCCTGCAGTGGCCTTCCTCCTCCTCCCTCCTGGCCACGTGGGCTTAAGTGTCCCCTCCTCCGGGAAGTCTTCCCTGATCACCAAGCTGAGATCCAGGCTGTTCTATGTTCCCTCCCCCTCCCCCGCCGGCCGGCTCCGTCCCTTTGTCTGTCCCTCTGCTGGCTGTCTGTGAGAGAGCAAGGGCTCAAGGAGCTCCGATGGCAAATGACCCAGTGGTGAGCCCAGGCCCCGACACGCACCGTCCCTGCCCACGCACCCGCCATTGACCCCTGAGAGCGGGAGAAGGTCCACCCCCCGCCGTCCCCACAGCTGCACAGATGCACACCCTGCACACACACCCATGATGCACACGCAGACCGTGAAGCACACCCGGGCACGTCGTCCGGCCGTGTGACTCGGTGCCTGTGTCCAAGCATTGACCTCCTGGTGACCCTGAAGCTGTCCCTGGGTGGCTGGCCATCTCTGTGTCCACTGACACTTCCTGGGGTGTCTGCGGCAGTTCTACAGCGCCCTGGAGGACAGGCACTGCTGAGTCCTTCCTACAGAGGGGCCTGGGGAGGGCCATGCTGCTGCGTCTGGACAGTCGGCGCCACCTCTGTCCAAATTCCCCCAGCRTGGACGCCCCGTCCAGCCAGACGCACTCCACCCCAGGGCCCTGCTGACGTGGCCAGCCGCAGCCCCACTGTGGGAGGACGGCAGAGCGAGTGGCCTCAACCACAGATGGTCACCCCCAAGATCAAGGCGTTGGGCGGCCGGCTCCTCCACAGGTTCGGGCGGCCCCTGTCCTGGGCTGCAGGTGGCGTCCTCCCCCCGAGTCCTTCTATACCGCCTCCCCTCCCTGRGGGTCTCGTGACAGCCAGTGGGAGCGAGTGTCCTGAAGGGCCTGGGGGGACGGGGGGTGCACGGGGACAGGGTGGACGTGTTTCGCCGTCGCTGGTGTGTCCCCCTGTCCTTGGGTTCACAGGCCAGTGCCCTGGGGRCTGTCCGCCACCAGCCTGCCAGTCACAGGAGGCCCCAGCTGGCCGGAGACAGCTGGACCATGGGGGGATGGGAGACAGCCATCTGTGGAGGTCAGAGGCCTGGCGCCCCGCCCACTGACTCTCGGGTCAGCATGGGGAACTGGTGGCTCGTGCCCAGGGCCCAGGCTCCCACAGTGGGACCCCCGGGGCCTTGGAGCCTGGAGAGGTCACTGCCTTCGTGGGGCAGTTCCCCATCTTGGAGAAGAGGTTCCTGGGCCGCCTGGTCTTCAGGAGGGAGCAGAGGACGTCCATTAGTTCACCAGAAATCCCTGGGGACTCGGCGGCCTGGGGGGCAGGGTCTGTTMTCGGGTCTGAGGGTCCGAAAGGTGGGCGCTGGGCAAGTGGTTCCCTGGGGGCCCCTCTGCGTGGCTGGCAGACAGTGCCCTCTTGCTGTCCCCTCAGGGCCTCTCCTCCGTGTCCTCGTACCCCCAGTGGCCCTCTGTGTGTCCGTGTGTCCTCCTGTAGTCAGGCTGGACCAGGGCCACCCAAGGGCCTCCTTTACATGGAGCCATTTCTGAAGGCCCTGTCCACGCGTCCCTCACGGTCTGCAGCCGTGGGGACTTGGACTCCAGCATCTGGACTTTAGGGGGGTGACAACTGAGTTCACGACACGTGCTACCCACAGGGAGGGTGGTGAGCTCTCCATGGTGACTGTCACTCGTGTGTGGTCAGTAAACAGGCCCRAGCTCCCGGCCTGGTCCACAGGGAAACGCTGTCGCGGTGTCGGGGACAGATGCACACGGCCTCCCTGGGCCTGGCACCCGTGCTCTTCGGGTGCCACCAGACATCTCCACGCAACCAGTATGTGCCCAACGCCTCCCAGGTGCTGTTCCCACAGGGATCGGGTGGGGACAGGCAGGGGACGCTGCTGCTTTTCAGTGGGGAATGTGCTAGCTGGGGACACAGACAATAAACATGGACATAAATAGACGGTCAGCAGAAAATGTCTGTGGAGGAGAATAAAGCGGAAACTGCCTGCCGGGCGTCCTGTTGAAAATCTATAGAGCGTTGATGTCACAAAAAACCATTTTTATCAGGGAGGAGACCTGTCATGATTCTTCAGTRATGGACACAGAAAACCTCCAAATAGGTTTGAGTTAGGTTGTGGCAGCGAAGATCCCATCATTGGAGTAAACGGGAACCCTGAAGAGGGCGTGGGAAGTCACAGTGCCCCCGCCTGGCATCCCAGTGCCTTGGGAGGCTGAGGCAGGAGGATCGAGTTCAAGGCCAGCCTCTGCAAAAGTGAGGCCCTAAGCAGCTCAGGGAGACCCTGTCTCTAAATAAAGTACAAAATAGGGCTGGGGTGGGGCTCAGTGGTCGAGGGTCCCTGAGTCCAACCCCCAGTGCCCACACACCTTGTGTGGGGCACGTCCTGCCCCTCTCTCTGCAGCTGCTCCAAGTCTCAGTTCTCATCTGGGGAACATGGACAGTGACCCCTGTAAGCAGCGTCAGGACAGATAAAGGACACGGTGCGCGTGCAGGGTCTGAGCCCACCCGGGGCTGGGCGCGGTCTGTCCTCCATCCTGCCCATCAGTGCCCTTCCTTTCTCGGGACCCCTCCCCACCTCCCCCGGTGGGCGTGCTTTCCTGTGTAAGTAAAGTGATGCTTTTAAGGACTGATTCTGGGGGACCCAGTGGAGCCATTCTGTTCAGCAGCGCAGGGAATATTTATAACTTCTCTCCTGAAAGCAAATGATTTCTCGGAGATGCTGAATTCATCCTGAGCAGCCTCTGGGCTGTCTTGTAAATACATAGATAGGAGCGTTAACCAAGCCCCAGTTGTCCAGCAAACCAGAGCAGAGATGCCGGAGGCCGTAAGTACCAGGGCTGCGTCTCTCCCAACCCGGCTGTTTTGAAGCCAGGACTTTCTTTCACTCCTGCTCCTCTTCAAATACCCCTTTACCTCATCAGTTGAGAATTCATTCAACAAACATTTATTGAGGAACTATTATGTGCCAGGCATGGTGCTGCTCACCACGGAGCCAAGAAGGACCACAGTCCTGCCTCTGTGGCACTTTTAAGAGAAGACCTCGGTGCCTGGGGCACATAAACCAACAGTGGCAATATTAATACGAATGACCTGTACGTCTCTTTTTGTTGTTAAGGTCTATCTTATAGACAGTGAAATCCTTGGATCTCAAATGTGCCCATCAGTCTGTTTTGACAAAGTCATGTCAGGACAGATCATTTCTGATCATCCTAGGAGTTCTGGCTCATGTTCCTTTCCAGGAAAACCCTCCTCCCCTGCCCCTCACAAGCAAGCACTGCCCAGCTTTGTTCCATCCTCGGTGAATTTTGCCTCTTCTAAATTTTTCTACAAAGAGGATCATGCAAACTGTACTTTGAGGGTAGATTTCTTTTATTCAGCAAAGCTTACTTTTACATCAGGGATTGAACCCAGGGGCACTTAACCCCTGAGCCACATCCCCAGCCCTTTTTATATTTTATTTAGAGACAGGATCTCCCTGAGTTGCCTTGGACCTCACTAACTTACTGAGCCTGGCCTCAAACTTATGATCCTCCTGCCTCGGCCTCCCAAGCCACTGGGATCACAGGCATGTGTGACCACGCCCAGCTCAGCAAACCTTTTTGATACTCACCTATGTTATTGAATGAATCCCTTTTTAAAAATTCTGTGTTCGTTGATGCTGAAAAGTCTCCCATTATCTAAATGTAGCCCAGCCTTTTATCCACCTTCCTGTAGATAAATATTTGGACTCTTTCCAATTGGCGGTTTATTATAACATTTCTATTCAGAGCTTTTTATGGACATTGGTTTTCATTTCTCTTGGATAAATACCCAGGAGTCCAACAGCGGGGACACCAGGAAGATAGATGGATATTGAACTTCTGGAGAAGTCACCAAACTGATTTCCAGTGACCAGTGACATTTTGCCATTTTCTATTTCCCCACCCACACCCACGTGGGGGAGTCCCAGCCCCTCCCGTCCTGCCCGCGTGGCTGGGGGCGGGGAACACAGCCCACGGCCCTTTTAGTGGGCATTTCTCTAATGACTCACAGCGCGAGACCCTTGCCAGGTGTCGACGGCCAGTTGTGCATGTTCTCACATGAAGTGTCCCTGCAAGTCTCTTTTTATTGGATGGTTGATCCTTTTATGACCCAGTTGTAAGAATTCTTTCTATGTTCTGGACGCAGATATGTCCTCGGGCAGATATATGCTTTGCAACATTTCCCACCGGCCCGTGGCTTGMAGAATCATTTTCTTAAGGACGCATTTAGATGAAGCAGATGTTTTTAGTTTGGGTGAATCCAGTTTATTTTTCCCGTTCCTTTTATGACTCGTAGTTTATAAACCCTCTCGAAGAACGTTTTTCTATCCAAAAGGTCATCAAGACGCCTCCGATCTGTCTCTCCTTCCGGCTTTCCGTGTGGGTCTTGGTGTTCAGATCCACCAGCGCTCAGTACCCTAGCCATGGACCAAGCGCTCGCCACGGAGCATCTTCTTTAATTAATGTTTTTATGTTTAAGTATTTAGACAATGGGGTGCTTGTCAGCATCAACAAAAACAGATTAATGTTTTAATTAAGGTCTACTTTAATTAATGAACGTCTGTGGACTTGTCAAAGAAGTACCAACAGATCTCCATTCGCACCTGGGAGGATTCTCATTTTGGATTTTGGTTTCTGTTTGTTTGTTTGGTGCCAGGGATTGACTCAGGGCACTTGACCACGGAGACGTCCCCAGCCCTGTTCTGTGCTTTATTTAKAGACAGGGTCTCACCGAGTTGCTTTGGGCCTCATCATGGCTGAGGCTGGCTTTGAATTCACGATCCTCCTGCCTCAGCCTCCTGAGCCGCTG